CCCCATAACCTTTTTTTTCCCCTTTTGCATTGAAAACCCCAACCCCCCATTACTCTCACACTTTATTTAAAAACCTCCCCACGCATTCACTCAACCTTTTTCCCCAAAAACTCCCTCTCTCTCCTCTACCTTCTCTCTTTCCAGGTTTCATACACGTTATTTTAAACCCCCTTTTCAATCCAAAACTTTATTTTACTTCCACATAATCCTTTAATTAATTTCATTTTTAAATCCCCCTTTTTTTTGCCAAAAATTATTTTCCTTTTAAAAATTATTTTTTACTTTTTTCTTTTCTCTAACTCTTTTGAAACCCCCGACCTAATCCCATTTATTTTCCTTTTTCCCCTGAAACTCTCCCACCCCCTTCAGCTTTGTTTCACTTAAAGCCAGGGCAACCCGCTTCTTCTCATTCAAACATCCACAATATCTTTTTCTTATATCTGCACAAAAATCCAGCACATTCAGATTTCCCCTTTTACAATTTTCTTCTTTTAATATATATATATTATATAATATATAATTAAATAAAAATATATATATATATAATAAAATATATATATATATATACTATATAAAAATATTTATAATATTTTATTTTTTATATTTATATTTTTATTTTAAACAAGTGGGGCCGTCTCCCACCGAGGAAAGGGTGACCCAAAAAAAAAAGAAAATCCCCAAAAAAATATTTTCACATCTTCAACACTTTCACCCACTCGCACTATCACTGTTTTTGCAGGGGTGCTCAGGATACAACAGTCAGAAGCATACCAATAAAGATCAAAACATATCCCCCAAACTCCAATATCCCAAAAACCCCTCCTTTAAGGCAGGCATTGTACTTCCCATTTCAGGGGCTCAAGTCCCACTATATGAAAATAACCGTTCCCTAACCCCTTCACAAATTTCCCCGCCCACCCAAAAATCGTCAAGGGCCCAATTTCCATTTTGTCTCCATTTACTCCTATCTAACCCTCACCACGTTTCTGGAATCCAAGCCCCCTTTCCCCCAAAACCCCCTTTTACCCCCCCCTCTCCGACCCTTCGGGACGACCCCACCCCGCCTTCCCCCCCCTATAGATTTATATGCTTTCCAGTCATTTTCCCTTTATCCTTCTCTTAAAAAGACCCCAAAACCCCTCAACAACCCCTCTTCGCCCCCCCGACAAAAAAATTTTTTTAAACCCCACCTTTTCCTAATTTCCACACTCCCAATCTTTTGCATAATAAACCCCCACACACACACACCACACACACACACACACCACACACACACACAAAACCACACAAAACACACCACCACACACACACACACACACACACAACCACACACACACACACAAACACACACACAACACACCACACACCAACACACACACCACACACACACACACCAAAACACACACACACACACACACACAACACCACACACACACACACACACCACACACACACACACACACACACCCACACACACAACACACACACGCACGCACGCAGGGAGAATAATTTTTGAGGAACTTTTAAATTTAAGGAAAAACAGGGGGCAGTTTTTTCATGCACGGTCGGGGGGTATACCATTTTTTAGGAGTGAAAAGGAAAATGAATTTGGGGGGGAGGTAGGGGGGGAGGCATTACTAAAAGAAAGGGGAAAGCAGCGGGAACTGAGGGATCAGAAGAAATGTTAAAAGCGGGGGGGGATATAGTGTTAGAGTGTTGGACTTTGTTTAAAAAATGTAGAAAAGGGGAAGGACCTAAGATTGGGGGAGAGCATGTTAGTCCCTTTTTAATAAAGGGAAAGGGGGGGAAAAAAAGGGCTGTAAAAAAATTTAAGGAATAACTTACTGGTATACCAGGGGAAAAATGTTCGGTAAAGGGGTTATAATTTAAAGAATTAAGGGAAGACAGAATTAGGATTGCGGGGGAGCAAGGAGTTTCAGAGTGGGTAGGGGATGTTTGATCAAGGTTTCGTTGAAGATATATGTGAAAAGTATTTGTAAAGGAGGGAAAATTTTTATTGCTTTTTGGGTTTAGAAAAAGGTATGATAGAGTGGATGAGGGGCAATGTGGCAGATGTTGCAAGTAATGGGAAAAGGGGGAAGTTATTAAATGCTGTAAAGGTTTTTATGAGGATAGTGAGGCTCAGTTAGGGTGTGAAAGGAGGGGGACACTTCCCCCGGGAAAAAAGTCTTTGACAGGGATGTTAATGTCACCATGGTTGTTTAATAATTTATAGTGGGGGGTTTTAAGGGAAAAAAATGCTATGTTCGGGGGAGGGGGGGATTAAATTTTGGGGAATCAAATCAAAAAGGGAAATTGACATACTTTTTGGGTGATTTTCTGTGCTTATGGGGGATTTCAAAGAAAAATTGCAAAGGTTAGTGGGTGATTTGGGAAAGTGTGTAAAGGTAGAAAGTTGAAAGTGAACATAGAAAAGAGTAAGGTGATGAGGGTTGTCAAATGATTTAGATAAAGAAAAATTGGGATATCAAATTGGGGAGGAGGAGTATGGAAGAAGTGAATGTTTTCAGATACTTGGGAGTTGACGTGGTCGGCGGATGGATTTATGAAGGATGAGGTTAATCGTAGAATTGATGAGGGAAAAAAGGTGAGTGGTGCGTTGAGGTATATGTGGAGTCAAAAAACGTTATCTATGGAGGCAAAGAAGGGAATGTATGAAAGTATAGTAGTACCAACACTCTTATATGGGTGTGAAGCTTGGGTGGTAAATGCAGCAGCGAGGAGACGGTTAGAGGCAGTGGAGATGTCCTGTTTAAGGGCAATGTGTGGTGTAAATATTATGCAGAAAATTCAGAGTGTGGAAATTAGGAGAAGGTGTGGAGTTAATAAAAGTATTAGTCAGAGGGCAGAAGAGGGTTTGTTGAGGTGGTTTGGTCATTTAGAGAGAATGGATCAAAGTAGAATGACATGGAAAGCATATAAATCTATAGGGGAAGGAAGGCGGGGTAGGGGTCGTCCTCGAAAGGGTTGGAGAGAGGGGGTAAAGGAGGTTTTGTGGGCAAGGGGCTTGGACTTCCAGCAAGCGTGCGTGAGCGTGTTAGATAGGAGTGAATGGAGACGAATGGTACTTGGGACCTGACGATCTGTTGGAGTGTGAGCAGGGTAATATTTAGTGAAGGGATTCAGGGAAACCGGTTATTTTCATATAGTCGGACTTGAGTCCTGGAAATGGGAAGTACAATGCCTGCACTTTAAAGGAGGGGTTTGGGATATTGGCAGTTTGGAGGGATATGTTGTGTATCTTTATATGTGTATGCTTCTAGACTGTTGTATTCTGAGCACCTCTGCAAAAACAGTGATAATGTGCGAGTGTGGTGAAAGTGTTGAATGATGATGAAAGTATTTTCTTTTTGGGGATTTTCTTTCTTTTTTGGGTCACCCTGCCTCGGTGGGAGACGGCCGACTTGTTGAAAAAAAAAAAAAAAAAAAAAAAAATTGCACATAGAGTAGTGTAGCTAATTGGAACAGTTATCTTGCCATAATAAAGAAACTGAATGATCTGTTGCTCAAACTATATTGCTGTGATTTATTTTCAGAATATTTTCTCTTGATTACAGTAATTTTCTGCATATACAGAAACTATATGCTGTACAGTCAGACCCAGGAGTTCACATACTTTGTAATCCATTTGATTCAGTTATTCTACATATTTTCTGAAGGCCATTTCATGGATAGGTTTATTAAAAAAATTCTTTATGGCCATTGTCTTCATGATACTCCTAGAATTTCATTAAAAATATGCTCATTCTTTCTTATGAATGTTAATATTAGCCAGATTAAAGCATTGTTCAAATAAATGGGCAAAAACAGTTAAATCATTTGTACATGAGAAATTTAACAATATCTGCAGCTTCAGGATTTGCATCACCTCCAGGAGCCTAATGTTACCCCATAGATCATGGGTTTCAATTGTATGTGCACTTCTGAAGTACTGTATATGGAATTTGGAATAATTATGAAAAAGATTATTTCATATTTGTGAATACATTTTTTTTTTATACACCCTGTGGTTGTAAGTCCTAGATCTCAGAAGGTGATGGATGCATATTTAGCTGGCAAACGAGAGAAACTCTAGCAAGTTTAACACCAATCATCACCCAAAAACAGGCAGCTTGCTGAACAATAAAAAATTCAAATTATGGGCAACATACTGGGCCCTTATTCAAGTTCCTAAACCTGCAAAATACAAGTGCCAATTGTTTACATAGTGTTCATGCTACATCATTAGAACACTCATGATGATGTATGATGACGTAAGACATTTCATGAAAAACTGTTAACAGTAAACGCATCACACTAGAAACATACCTGGTTGAAATCCTCCATAGGATAAGAACATCTACTGAAATTATAAGCAAACTAAACAGTCACAATGTGTAATAACTAATCAGATCGAATTAAACAGTTTTTTTTAAATTCAACTCGGGCATGTTTCTCCCGATGCAGGTGGAAACTACTGAATTTAAATTAAAGCTGAATACATAATGTGTGATGAAGTAGTATCAGTCATGTCTTAGCGTGTCATTATATTTCTGAAATTAATAATATATAATATAATAGATATATATTATATATATCTATATATATATAGATTTAATATATAAAATATATATAAATGTTTTTTTTTTTTTTTTATTTTCAACAAGTCGTGTCGTCTCCACCGAGCGGGGTGACCACCGAAAAAGAAAGGAAATCACCAAAAGAAATAACTTTCACACATTCAACACTTTCACCACACTCACACATTATACTGCTTTTGCAGTAGTGTCAGAATATAACAGTTATAGCATATACGTATAGAGATACACAACATATCCTCAATACTCCATATATATATATATATATATATATATATATATATATATATATATATATATATATATATATATATATATATGTGTATATATATAATTATATTCTTGCATTTTAAGATATTTTGGTGCATTTTTAATTGTTTTGCAAGTGTCTCAACCTTACAGGAAATGAGCTAGTAGGAGTGTTAGTTGGAATTATGGTTGGAGCTTTACAAGATACTAATCGCCTCAGTAGCGTTAATCAACCAACTAGACAACTTCATCAATATGCCCTAGCAAGACTTCAGAAAATTGGACCACAGTACCCACAGGTATGCATGATAGTTTTCATTATATTACCATAATATACTGTAAAGAAGTACAAGTAGTTTTCATTATATTACCATAATATACTGTAAAGAAGTACAAGTATCCCTTACTTTATCCAGCAGATGTGTTCTAGGTTAATGGCATCTATGCTAACCTCAATCAGGCTTTCATCACTTGATTCCATATACTAACAATCTTCAAGTTTTATGAACTGCACCGATTGCATATGACAAGTGTGCATTGCACATATGGAGTTATTGATAGAGATGGGACATTGCATAATGGTGAATTTGCATAAAGTGAAGGGAAACCCATGGTCATATTTTTATTTATTAACACATCAGCCGATTCCTACCAAGGCAGGATGGGCTGAAAAAGAAAAACTTTCATCATCATTCACTCCATCACTGTCTTGCCAGAGGGGTGCTTTACACTACAGTTATAAAACTGCAACATTAACACCCCTCTTTTATAGATTATAAAAATCTTGCCCATCTTTGAATAACACTGCATATATAATAGCTGTTTTTATCCGTCAGTTAATTTTTTTTTCTATATTCATTGTATTTTACAGTTATTGAATAATTATGCTTTCAGGAGTTCCGTACTGTATTAACAAGTAAACCAGAGCTGCGTCTGAGACTAGAAAGTGCATTGAGAGGTCAACAAGAGGCGAGGAGTAAGGTTGACAGCTCGCTGGGGCAGGATTCAATGCAGCACCAGCCAACGATTAAGTTAAAGACAGATTTTTCTAATTTTGCTTCCAAGACTTAAAATAATTGTTCATACAAGTTTGGAATAACATCAGGATGTGCAAAGTATAATTGTGTTAATAGCCCCTTCTGGAGTATTTTTAACAAGCATTATAATAAGCCAGATGGTACATATGTATTATGGAAATGCAGTGCAAGAAATGAGGCATAATGAAGGGATGAATAGAAATGTTGGATTAGATTCACTGGGAGAGAGATGTCTCATAAACTATTTATGTTTGAAATGGGGTAAATATTTAGAACACAGAAAAGAATTCTTGCTAGTTCTTCCATTGGTGTACATATTGTTAAACAAAGAACTGTAGATCTTAGGCCTCTGTTCCTATGATATTAAATATTTATTTACAAACCTTTGCATGAAAGAGGAAAGCTTGGTGAATAATAGGATTGAAGAAAATATACAAAATTGAAGTACAGGCAAGCCTCGTTTAACAATCATGGGTTCCTCCTCCCCAACCAAAAAATGTCACTTTAAAGGGGGGGGTGACTTTAGAAAGTATTAAAGTTCAAAAATGTATGTTAAAAACACTACCTTTCAAAATAGATACTGTATAACATATTGTAATATGTTATTTTACAAATATAGGTCCGAATAGTGCATTTCAAGGCTTTATTGGAAAATGTAGTAGATTTGTTGAGCATGATTTTTGCCGAGTGGTGATGGGTATGCTTAAATAGCCTTGCCTAACTTGTCAGTGTGCAAAAAAAAAGTATCCCAGTTCCATGTTTATTAAACACATGTGACATGTAGACAGCATCTTCATTTAGTTCTATAATATAATGCAGCCTGCTTAAAACTTCATGTGTGCATAGCAGCAGAACAAACAAGAGTGCATGGCTTCTACCAGTCTCACTCGTGTTTTTTTTTTTTCTCCTTTACAGTCCTTAGGAATTATGCCAGTTTCATTTATATTGAACAGTACTCATCAAATATAGATTAGAATGATGCATGTCAAGGTTTTACAAGGAAATCTCTAGTTTTTGCTCATGGTACACATCATGTTGGTGGACTTGCTTGAGGTGGTCTGTACTTTGCTTATACAGTGCACAATAACAAATCTAGTTTTATGTACAGTGTTGGCAGTATCGCCAATTATTTCCAGCCAAATGTAATGGTGAGTGCAATGAGTTTGTTATATGGGTGGCAGTCTAAGACAAGAACAACACATGACTATCTCCTGCTTACATATATTGTGTTTTCTCTTACATTACTAAAAGAAAACACCCCATTTTCATCTATGAAAACTTGGATTATATGGGCATAATCAACAAATATTTTCAACAAAATAGTCAGGTAGTATTGCAAGTGCTCACTTGTCAGAATGGTCTGTTTGATTACCTATGACTGCTGCCTATACTCTCTGTAACAAACTAAGTAAAGTGTGAATATGGCAAAACTAGCCACAGTGCAGTGAGTAAAGCCAGTCTGCTATCACAATTTTTTTTAATTCTGAATGCTTCTTTCAACAAACTGGCCGTATCCCACTGAAGCAGGGTGGCCCAAAAAGAAAAACGAAAGTTTCTATTTTTAACTTTAGTAATGTACACAGGAGAAAGGGTTACTAGCCCCTCGCTTCTGGCATTTTTACCCGCCTCTTACGACACGCATGGTTTACGGAGGAAGAATTCTGTTCCACTTCCCCATGGAGAATTTTGAATACATAACCCTTAATTAAAAAACTTCTTAGGTATATGAAGGTGTGGAATAAGGCATAAGGAATACTTAAATCGAGGCTTACCTGTACAAGGGGTAAACAGTGAATATAATGGAAAAATAAGAGTACTGTATTAAATATGTGAAAAGTCCCAGGAGGGCATAAAAGGAACAAGAGGGACAAGATAGTGTGGTGCCTTTTCCATTGTAGGTAAGTTCCCAGGAAAGTGTCACACATTTCTGAAATGGTAAGGTTATTTGCCAAGGGCTCTAGTAACCAACATTATAAACTCTACCTATGGGTTAGTAACTTGAAATTTACAAATACTTTCCAGATACATAGCTAGAATAACATAGTATTGCTGTATTATTAAACCCTCAGTGTAATGGACTAATTTTGGGGGGGGGGGGAGGTGGAAGAGGGGTGGCCAGTAATAGCACTTTTAGTGGATAGAGGAGAGATTGTTTTACCATCATAAACACAATAAAAAATACCAATAATGGAGAAATCTCTAACCAGTGGACTGTGTCCATTGTTTCAGAATTGATTAATCCAACAGATTTTGTTCCATATTCTCAAAGTCCATTGTATTGAGGGTTTACGTACGTGACTGTAAATATAAAAATTGGAATTGTTTGCTGAGTGAGAAGAATATTGGTACTCCTGAAAGTTTGAATCTTTACATGAATCATGGTGCTCTGAGGGCTTTGTATAGTTTACTTACAGTAAATTTGAGACATTGTAGCAAATATGGATGCGAGATATATTTAGTTTGATAAAAATTAATTTAGTTACAGTATATAAGCATAAAAAATGGTAATTACAGTACTAAATATTTTCGAGTAAAAATTTAAATAATTTAACAAAAAAAGATTAATTAATATGTTACCAAAGAACCCTTATGACAAATTTTAGCTTCTATTTCTGTGCACTGAGATATGTATCATAACTAGAATTTGTCAGATGTGATCTGATCTCTAAATGAATCCTATTAGATTTCCTACTGGAGCAAATGTATGTAAAGTCCCTAGATAGGTTTGGCATGGCATAGTGGCCCTGGAGTAAGCCAACTTTTCTTAACTGCAAGGTATGATCTGTGGGCAGTGTTCCTCACCCCTTCCCCATCTAACAGATTTGATTGAGAATAACCTATATTGACAAGAAATGTATTTTAATGCACTTTATCATTTTTAATGCACTTTTGTTTTGTAAATTAGCTAAAGACAATTTTAAGGTGTATCCTCTATACAGGCATACCTCTCTGAATGCTCAGGGTTGCAGCACTCAACATGGTGTACAGCATTAAATTAAAAAAAAAAAAGGATGCTTTGGATGGAAATGACAATAAATTTACTTGCAAATTTAGTACAAGTCATGCAACACACACCATATATGTCAGCATATTGCATATCAATGGTTTATAGGCGAATGCAGTGGAATTCTGGATAGTGGCTAGAGGTGGTGAGAAATCTGGTAACCTTTGTCAGGTAATTTTACTTTTAACTTATATCTCAAGAGAAGAAAACCCAGTTTCATCTACATTTAACATTTTGTGATTCATATATTTTCTCAATTCTAACAAAATCAAGATGCATACCTTGGCATGAGAAAACTCTCACTTACTCTGTGTGTGTGCGTGCTTGTACTCACCTATTTGTGGTTGCAGGGGTCGATTCACAGCTCCTGGCCCCGCCTCTTCGCTGATTGCTACTATTGTGTGTGTGTGTGCGCGCGCACGCATGTGCGCATACGCATTGAACACTATTCAGTTACACTACTAACTCATCACTACTTTCCTCTCCCCCCCACCTTAAGTTTGCTTCTAATACTACTACTGCTGCTACTGCTTCTGCTTCTTCTGCTGCTGCTTCTTCTTTGCTGTGCTTTTGCTTCTTCAGCATCAGCATGTAGATAGCTGATTGGGTAGGTATTCTTTTAGCTCTCACAAAAAGAACATTTTTCTTTTGGTTTCTTTTACCTTTCTCTTACAGTTTGAAAGAACACAGCCCAGTTTATCCACTTCCATGTGCACTTAATTGCTGCTTTGAAAACATACAGTATTTTAACATAAAAAGGAGAAATGCATTTGTTGTCCATTGATGCACAACACTACCACACCACTGGTCCATTGCTTTGCAGATACCCTCTTAGCTCTTTTAGATATAAAATATTTTCCTCTTACTGTTTGTTATAAAGAAAATTTTCCAATTTCTCCACTTTCATGTACAATAATTTGAACATGCATTTCTGTGCTGTTACCTTAAATTATTTCTAGCAAATAGTCATGAAATGAGTAGATGTATTTACATCTAAAGAGTTAACTTTAGGACAGAAAATTTAGCACAAATACCCAGCAGATGTCACTGTCGATCCTGCCTGAGTTATATTAATATCTTGAATAGAGATAAAAACTAAACACTATAGAGCATTCAGATTATAACATTAAAAATACAGTGAGGTATGCCTGTTTATCAAGAGCACTTGTGAAGGAACTTTTATCAAATACTAGATACCCTGCATATGCATATTCAGGTATATATACTGTGTGTACTCGCCTATTTGTGGTTGCAAGGGTCAGTTCAGTTTTTTTTTTTTTTAAGCAACCATGCTGTACATTGATTTGGCAGTCATTATTTCTTTAATAACAGAAATATCAAAGATGTACAGAAGTAGTAACCAAGTACTATACTGATTATATATATGTGACTGAATATCCATATGCAAGGTGTTGTCTTGACAAATCTTATTCCATAGATTTTATTGGGTCATTTGTTAGAAACCTATATAGAATTTTACTTCACTAGGTTCAATTGTATCAGATTATCCTTAGTAGTTTGAAAGCTAGTTTGTATTTCTGTACATAGTTTAGTGTTAAATGCTATTTTGATCAATTTTCAACAACTAGAAGAGCTTATGAAAATAGTTTTTTTTTTTCAAATAACACAAAACTGCACAAGACCTTTAATTTAATATAATACGTATAGGTATTAAATTTGATGTACTTTTTTTAATCAAGGGAAGAGGGGAGCATGTTTTAATCAAGGGAAGGGGGGAGCATATATAATACATACCTTCCTCCGTCCCAATTTGTCTGAATTTGTTAATGCCAGAAATGGGTAATTTTTCATATTTGCAACCTCAGTTGTAGACAGTGCAGATATTTTTTCTTAGGTGCTGTATCATAAATCACTAAATTTTTGGACCTTCAGAAAATGAAAGACAAAATGGACATGGGAGTACAACATTAAGAACTATTCTGATATGAACTTGTGGCACCAGATTTTGAAGTTATATCTTTTTTTTTTTTTTATACATCAGATGTTGCCTAAACTTATACTTCATGAATAGCAGAGGAATTTTTCTTACAGCTATCAGTCAGTATTCTTTTCTGAATGATTTACCAACTGCAGAGTTTTAAAATATGGCCCAATGAAAAAGGAATGTGATATTAACTTACTAAGTCATCCTGTGATTAGGTGTAGCAGCCCCTTTTGTAGCAAACCATACAACTGTTTGAACTAGAAAAGTGACTGTTATTCACTATTATTGTATGAAAAAAACATTTAATTGTTTATGTGAAGTTCCAGAGACTATAGCAATAAACTTCTAGTTCATTCTTCTTTTACTTGTTTAACCTTTAATGTGGAAACTGCTCAGACCCAAAAAAATCACAGAGTAGAAACTTACATGATCTTAATATCCAAGTAGTAAGTGTTGCTATTCCATGTAAAGCAATAAGCCCATTATAATTGTTGAGTGTTGGATGGTAAAGGGAGGAAAAAAGGGAGAGGTATTGAGGGGAAGCAAAAATCAAGAATTCAATACCATTAACCAATGTCGTAGACTCTTGTGCTGAAGTTAGGATTTTTAGACTGCTATATACTGTCATGAAAAATGTCAGTAATGGGGTTTTGAATAATTTTATTTATTAACACATCGGCTGTTTCCACCAAGGCAGGGTGTCCATAAAAAAAAAAATAATCATTCCATCATTCTTGCCAGAGGCATGCTTACACTAACAGTTATAAAATTGCAACACTAACGCCTCCTTCTTCAGAGTGCCGGCACTGTACTTCCTCTCTCCAAGAATCAAGTCCAGCTGCTGGTTTCCCTGAATCCCTTCATAAATGTTACCTTGCTTACACCCCAACAGCACATCAAGTCCTAAAACCGTTTGTCTCCATTCACTCCTAGCACGCTCACGCATGCTAGCTGGAAGTCCAAGCCCCCCTACCTCGCCTTCCCTCCACTACAGATTTATACACTCTCGAAACCATTCTACTTCATTCCATCCTTTCTGCATGTCCGAACCATCTCAGTAACCCCACCTCAGCCCTCTGGATAATAGTTTTGGTAATCCCACCATACCTCCTAATCTCCAAAGTATGTATTCTCTGCATTATATTCACACCACACATTGCCCTCAGACGACATTTTCCACTGCCTCCAGACTTCTCCTTGTTGCAACATTTACAACCCATGCCTTGCACCCATACACAAGCATTGGTATAACTATACTCTCATGCATTCCTCTTTGCTTTCATGAATAAAGTTTTTTTTTGTCTCCACAGACTCCTCAGTGCACCACTCGCCTTTTTCTCTCTTGTCAGTTCTATGATTCAACCTCATCCTTCATAGACCCATCTGCTGACACATTCACCTCCTCCATACTCTCTCCCTCCAATCTGATATCCAGTGAGCATATAATTTGTAGCTACTCAGTTGTCAGGATGTGATTTTATAGTAGTGAAGTACTTACTGTAATTTTAACATACTGTAGTTATAGCTATCCACATGTAAGGCTGGATTTGTACTGTCCTAGTACAGTGGACCCCCGCATACCGGACGCATCGCATACCGTACAATCCGCATACCGGACGCTTTGATCGCAAAAATTTTGCCTCGCATACCGCCCAAAAACCCACTCACCGCCCTTCGTCCGAGACGCGTCCAATGTGTGGCCTGAGCCACGCTCACATGTTCCGCCGGTGGCATTGTTTACCAGCCAGCCTCCGCGGTAACATCCAAGCATACAATCGGAACATTTCGTATTATTACAGTGTTTTTGGTGATTTTTTCTGGAAAATAAGTGACCATGGGCCCCAAGAAAGCTTCTAGTGCCAACCCTACAGCAATAAGGGTGAGAATTACTATGGAGATGAAGAAAAAGATCATTGATAAGTATGAAAGTGGAGTGCGTGTCTCCGAGCTGGCCAGGTTGTATAATAAACCCCAATCAACCATCGCTACTATTGGTGGTACAGCTGCTGCTGTACCACCGTCAGCTGCTGCTGCACTGTCAGCTGCTGCTGCTGTACCACCGTCAGCTGCTGCTGCTGCTGTAGTACCGTCTGCTGCTGCTTTTAGCATCGTCTGCTGCTGCTGTAGCATCGTCTGCTGCTGCTGTAGCGTCTGCTGCTGCTGTAGCATCGTCTGCTGCTGCTGTAGCATCGTCTGCTGCTGCTGTAGCATCGTCTGCTGCTGCTGTAGCATCGTCTGCTGCTGCTGTAGCATCGTCTGCTGCTGCTGTAGCATCGTCTGCTACTGCTGTAGCATCGTCTGCTGCTGCTGTAGCATCGTCTGCTGCTGCTGTAGCATCGTTCTGCTGCTGCTGTAGCATCGTCTGCTGCTGCTGTAGCATCGTCTGCTGCTGCTGTAGCATCGTCTGCTGCTGCTGTAGCATCGTCTGCTACTGCTGTAGCATCGTCTGCTGCTGCTGTAGCATCGTCTGCTGCTGCTGTAGCATCGTCTGCTGCTGCTGTAGCATCGTCTGCTGCTGCTGTAGCATCGTCTGCTGCTGCTGTAGCATCGTCTGCTGCTGCTGTAGCATCGTCTGTTGCTGCTGTACCACCGTCAGCTGTTGCTGCTGCTGTAGCACCGTTGTTGGCGTGGCTTATTGAGAATACCAAGAAACAATTAACCCCAGAGGATTTGCCACCCAGGATAACCCAAAAAAGTCAGTGTCATCGAAGACTGTCTAACTTATTTCCATTGGGGTCCTTAATCTTGTCTCCCAGGATGCAACCCACACCAGTCGACTAACACCCAGGTGAACAGGGAAAATGCCTGGAACTAGTGCTCATATTGGTGAATTTAGAGCCAGCAAAGGTTGGTTTGAGAGATTTAAGAATCATAGTGGCATACAGTGTGATAAGGCATGTTCTGGAAGAAAATACCTAACAGGACCTACAGTACTCAGGAGGAAAAGGCACTCCCAGGACACAGTGTCTCATCAGTCATTGCTGCATCTTCAATAAAGGTAAGTGTCATTTATTCTTCATTTAGTAGAGTAGTACATGCACAATATATATTGTGCATGTACTACTCTACTATTGTGCATGTATCCTTCTCTTTGTGTGTAGGAAAATGTATATTTCATGTGGTAAAAAAAATTTTTTCATACTTTTGGGTGTCTTGCACGGATTAATTTGATTTCCATTATTTCTTATGGGGAAAATTCATTCGCATACCGAACATTTCGCATAACAACCAGCCCTCTTGCACGGATTAAGGTCGCTATGTGGGGGTCCACTGTATAGTGTTTATAATAAGCCACTAATTTATATTGAAGCTAAATTTTGCTCTTATTACAGATGTTTTTAAAATGTTCCAGCTATCTCTACATTTTATTTTATCAGGTTTTTATTCTCTACAAAAGAACTGAAAATGAGTGAGGAAGAACATTAATAAAATTCACGATATGTCATACCACGTTTCTAAATCCTGGTTACATAATTATTAAAACTTTATATGCAAGTTGTATGTGTCTACCAAAATGTCACCAGCTGGACATCCTTACAGCACCACAACCTCAAAAAATATCATTCAGTAACTACTGGGAGTTTAGGTAAAGCACATTTGCAACAGTTTAACACCTTTATTGGCGAGACATTTTGCCTGCTCTTCAGGCTTCTTCACTCATTATACCTCAGCGCTGTATAGCCCTTGTGGCTTAGCGCTTCTTTTTGATTATAATAATAATTCACTCATTATAGCATAGGAGACCACACTAGTAGTAGAGATGTAGATATGAGGTGGTCAATAATAATTTGTAATGTCAGCACTTCTGGAAAGACTGCAATTAAGTGGATGTTGGTGAATATTATTATTATTATAATAAAAAATAAGCGCTAAACCACAAAGGCTAATGTTGGTGAATAAGTTTTCTTGTTTGGGTCACCATGCCTTACTGGGAGATGGCTACCTAGTTAAAATAATCAATCAATTTAAGCACTAAACCTAAATATAGGCTTACACTATCTTAGTCTCTCTTGAACTGACCGAGGAAGCCTGCTGAGCAGGTAGAACACATCAATAAAGATACAAAGCTGTTACAAGTCTTGCACATAAACTTTTCAGTATTATATATATAATCATTAATATACCCCTCATGGAAGGTTCCTTGATGTTGGTGAGGGGCTCTTGATTTAAGGAATTGGATCTGTGCTCCAGTTCCCCGAATTAAGCCTGAATGCCTTCCACATCCCCCCTCCCCTGGGCGCTGTATAATCCTACGGGTTTAGCGCTTCCCCCTTGATTATAATAATAATAATCATTAATATAAGAATGCCCAGAGTTCCCCCCCCCCCATCACTTTAACCTTGGACTGCTACCTCAGGTATTCATATGTCCAGACACACCTTTCTGGAAGCCATCCCAGTCTACCTGTTGCACCACTGACTGCTCTGCTAACTTTTTCCCCTACCAAAGTGGTGCACAAGGTCTTTTAAGCACATAAGTACCCAAATAACCACTATAATGCATAAATTTAAGAGAATTCCCATACATTTCCCAATTGGATTTTTATATGTATTTAGCACTCGAGCTGCAAACTCGGAATTATGAACATTTAACCTTATTATTATAATCAAGGGGAAGCGCTAAACTCATGGAATTATACAGCACCTGGGGGGGGGGGGGGGGAATGTGGAAGGCATTCAGGCTTAATTCGGGGAACTGGAGCACAGATCCAATTCCCTAAATCAAGAGCCCCTCATCAACATCAAGGAACCTTCCCTGAGGGGACATTTAACCTTAATGAATTCAAGTTTACCAAAGTACAGAAGATTTTTAAGAGTACAGATTGTATATACAGTAGGGCCCCACTTATATGGCTGGTTAGGTTCCAGGCTACCACCGTAAAGTGGAACACCCTTTTTTTCCCACTTACAAATGCATACAAACACTATTATTATTATTATAATCAAGGGGGAAGCGCTAAACCCGGAGGATTATACAGCGCCTGGGGGGGGGGATGTGGAAGGCATTCAGGCTTAATTCGGGGAACTGGAGCACAGATCCAATTCCCCAAATCAAGAGCCCCTCACCAACATCAAGGAACCTTCCCTGAGGGGATACAAACACTAGATAACAAGTTTACACTAACATATATTAAGTTAGCAATAGAACCAGGCATCAAAAAACAATAAAAAAGTACAATACACACATAGTGCACTCATTACTTACCTTAAAATATTTAGTCTTAATCTAGGGTGAGACAAGTAGTATTTATTGTAAGAAATCAAGTGTGGCATGTATGGTAGTCAGCCAGGCTACCATACCAGGCCACCCCACCCACACATACAATTCTATGATATTTAAGCATCCCAGAGCGAT